TAGGACATTTGCAAACCGAGGTGTACCGCAAACCCACCCACACAGACCAGTATTTGCAGTTTGACTCCCATCACCCTTTGGAGCACAAGTTAGGAGTCATCAGGACTCTGTACCACAGAGCAGACAGCGTCCCCACTAGCTCAGGAGCCAGGCAGAAGGAGAAATCCCACACAAGACAGGCTCTAGAGCAATGTGGATATCCTAACTGGGCCTTCCTGAAAGCAGAGAAGAAACCCAAACAGGACTCCAGTCAGCCATCAGGTGAAAAGGAGGAACCCAGACCCAGACCAGTGGTCATTCCGTATGTTGAGGGAGTATCAGAGAAACTGAGACGTTTATTTTCTAAACATAACGTCCCAGTGGCTTTTAAACCCCAAAATACATTAAAGACTGGTTCATCCCAAAGATCCAGTCCCCCAGCACAAACAGAGTAATGTTGTGTATGCTGTTCAGTGTCAGGAGGGTGATCAGTCTTACATCGGGGAAACTAAACAGCCACTGGCCAAAAGGATGGCCCAGCACAGAAGATCAACATCATCAGGCCAGGACTCTGCGGTCTACACTCATCTCCAGGCCAGCAGTCACTCTTTCAAGGATGAAGATGTTCACATCCTGGACAGAGAGGAACGATGGTTTGAGAGAAGAGAGGAGTAAAGGAGGCCATCTTTGTGAAAAGAAACCGTCCATCATTAAACAGGGGTGGAGCCTCCGGGTTCAACTGTCCCCCAACTGACCTGCTGTGATTGCTAGTATCACTCAGCCCTCTGTGAATAGTAAACAGCCATCAGTGTGCTAATGATCCATTGTTAGGCTGATGGTCCTTCTTAATCATGTGAACAACTAGTTTTAGATGTCACCATCAAACTGGTTGATCCATTACAAGAAGGTACTATTTATAAGACGGAGTTTGTTGCAGCTCCTCAGACTGAAGAAGTACTTTGGATAAAACATCAAGATAACAGATCCTCCTCAACACATAGCATCAAACACTTCTTGCAGTCTTGCATGAAATCATGCACGATGTTAATCCAAACAGCTACAACTCTCTGTTCCTTCTCAACACAAGATGATTTCAGTTCAGAAGACTGGCATGACAGACGGCGGGCGATATGCATTCATTTACTAGGTCTTTAGTTTATGAAATCATTCATAAGTTAATATTTTGAATGGATGATCAAAAAAAAAAAAAAAAACACAGCTGAATGTGAAGGGTGACCAAAAATATTGATTTCCAACTGTTTTTCCAACAGTGTCAAGAAACTGTCAAAACACCTGAGATAAACCAGAACCTTTTGTGAAATAATTTGACATTATTGTTGTAATAATTTTCATGTCTTATTAATCCTAATCAAGACTTTTAGGTTAAAAAACTACTTTCGGTTTTGTTTCCATGAAGGCATGCAACTGAACAACCAGCTTCTGCAGCTCGTTAGTTTGAGGTTTGCTGATAACGATTACAACATCGACTTTGACGACTACCTCACCTGCATCGTCCGTCTGGAGAACATGTTCAGTACGTTAAAAAGCAACATTAAGATGAATCTTTCACCAGGTTTACAACAGCTTGTTGGTGTTAGGGTGAGGACATGTTCAGAGCTCATGTTCTGTTTCTTATGCAGGAACTTTCCAGGCTTTGGACAAATCTAACACAGGACGGGTCAACATGAACATCATGCAGGTAAAACTTTAACAACGTCAAACACGTTTGTGTTTCCTCCTGTTTTTACTTCTGTTTGACTTTTGCAATTAAACTACTTCATATTGTAGCATGTTCTGTAGTTAGACTGTTCCAATGGCATTTCTATATTCATGTTTCCTACAGCAGTTCTGTAGTTGGATGTTCACAGCAATGGGAAGAGGGACAGCAGAGTTTTGGGGGAACTCCCTCAGAGTTGTTCTGTTCAGCGTGGCTGTGGCCTACAACAGCTATTCAAATAAAAAATGTTCAGACTTTAACGAGAGTCATCTGTGACATGAACTACAACGCATAGACAGAGAAAGCGTTACAGTGGTGTCAGAAGTGGGATTATGACATGCACACCAAAGGGTGGCACTTTGTCGCTGGGGAGTTGGTGTGGCTCTACTCGCTCATGTGGAAGAGAGGCAGGTGCCCCAAGGTGGACAGTCACTGGGTTGGACCATGTGCAGTCCTGGAGTGATTGGGGGAAGTTGTTTATCGGGTGCAGTTGCCTCCACGGGGATGCAGGGTAGCTCTGCGCCGAGACCGACTCGCAACTTACAAGGGCATCGCTGCTCCTTAGGACATAGTTTGGGACAAGGGGGTACCAGCCGCACAGTCTTCTGCAGAGTGGGGTTCTACTAGCAGTCCGGCAGACACTGGGGGTTTGCAGGAGGGATCTCCACAATCAGGGGCAGAGCAGCTGGCAGGGGTCATAACCCCATGGCTGCCGAGACAGCAGCGGCGACTCCCACCGAGGTTCAGAGACTTTGTCCTCGGGGTCGAGGACTCTACTGTGGTGGTGGTGGGTGGGGGGGTGGGAGTAGTGCAGTGTGTTCTGTAGTTAGACTGTTCCAATGGCATTTCTATATTCATGTTTCCTACAGCAGTTCTCTAGTTGGATGTTCACAGCAATGGGAAGAGGGACAGCAGAGTTTTGGGGGAACTCCCTCAGAGTTGTTCTGTTCAGCGTGGCTGTGGCCTACAACAGCTATTCAAATAAAAAATGTTCCGACTTTAACGAGAGTCATCTGTGACATGAACTACAACGCATAGACAGAGAAAGCGTTACAATATTTTGTGCTGGTTTAATTTTTCATGAACCAAACTGTTAGCTAGATTAGTGACTTCTGGTTTATGCAACGTTCATGCTTTTCAAAACTGTTGAATTAATTTAAAATAAAATCCTCATAGAAATGTGTAGAAATTTCCTCAATTTGTTCAGAAACATTGTTCTGTTTGAAATCTACTTCAGCATACTGACTATTTTTGTCTTCATATGCTACTTGTAGCTTTTGGCTAGCGTTAAGCTAGCCTTTAGCTTTGGTTTTTCTAGTCATAGTCACTGTTTGACTCAGTTTAGCTTTATCATCTGTTTTGCTACTTTTTGCTAGTTTTGCTAATGTTGGCATCTCCTTTGCTAATTTTAGCTAGTTTTATCAGTTTAAGAAACTGTTTTGCTTCTAAATAGCATCCAGTATTTCAGCTGAAGCAGTTCAGGTTCAGTTTATCACTCCAGTGTCAGCAGAACCTATTATAGTCCTTCACAATAAAAGTCTCAAACATTAAGTATTGACTTGTTAATACTCTCTTGATTCCATCAAAGTTCATGCTCAATAATCCGGGTACAAAATCCAAGAAAGTTCAGTCAGGTCATCTGGACAGTTTCTTATTTTTTCTGAGACATTTCGTCCTTCATCCAAAGGATTTCTTCGATCTGAGGAGACACAAACAAACTGAGTCCCACGACAACAGCATACTCCAGAGTGGAAAAACAGTTTGCTGGTGCTAAGATGGCCTCCGGGGCCCGCCCTCTCCCTAGTCAACTGCTTCGAGACATCTTAGCACCAGCAAACTGTTTTTTTCCACTATGGAGTATTTTTTCATTCAACCTTTATTTGTACAGGTTAGTTCCCATTGAGCCTCGAGGACGCACTTACAACAGAAACCTGTATCTTGTTTGTGGGAATAAGTTTTGTTTGGTGGATCCTCAGATTGAAGAAGTCCTTTGGATGAAGGACGAAACGTCTCAGCTTAATAAAAAAAACATCCAGATGACCTGACTGAACATTGTTGTACTCTCTTGATCGTTAACGGGCTAGGCTTTTGTATTTGTTTTACTGAAGTTATTTTCGTAAGTTTCAAATGTTTCAAAAAGGTTTTTGAGGTTAGTGCTTGTATACGTTTAAGAATCTTATTGTGAAGGATTGAAAAATGCTCTAAGTTTAGATGCAGCAGAAGGGATTGATCTTTTTATGGCCTTGTAAAAATGTCATAAAGGTGCACATAATATCTTACAGGTATTGTTACTTTAAAAGCCTACACATGGAGCATACATGAGTCAGAACAAATATGATAAAAATATTTATCCGGCCTCCAAACGTCAGAACAGAGAAACAATCTGCTTTGCATAACAATCAGTTTTGTGCACCCACACTCCATGTATACAGTAGCTTTAGTCAGGAAGTATGACAGACTTAAAGCAACATTATGATAGTTTGTCATTTCCAGCCAGCCTTCCTCAGACTGCTTCAGCTAAAGACGTGAGTTTTTCCAGCTACTAGGGTCTCCTCCTGATCTTCGGGACCAGGCCTCCTTTGCAAAAGAGATTTATGATCTCAAAGCGATTTGCATGATTAAATAATTGTTAATAAAAAAAACTGTAGTCAAACCAAGTGGCACAGTGGCTTAGTTGGTAGAGATGTTGCTTTTCAGTGAGAAGGTCGCCAGTTCAAATCCTGGCTCAGGGCCTTTCTGGGTGGAGTTTGCATGTTCTCTCCATTCATGCGTGGGTTTTCTCCAGGTACTCCGGTTTCCTCCCACAGACCAAAAACATGCATGTTAGGCTGATTGGTAACTCTAAATTGTCTGTATGTGTCCCTGTGATGGACTGGAGACCTGTCCAGGTGTACACCACCTCTCACACAGGGACTGCTGGATATGAGCACCAGTGACCCCCGTGACCCAAAAAGGAAAAAAATGGGTAAAGTTAATGGATGGATGGATTCATTCAAACTTTATTTATACAGGTTGATCCCATTGAGCGTCAGGGACTCATTTACAAGAGAGACCTGACCTGGATAGTCAAACCAAATAAAAATGCTCTCAGAATCATAAGAAAATAATAACTAATAATAACGGATCAGGAGCACAGCAAAGTTATGTTCAAGTTTTAATTTTTTTTCCTGTCAAATAAATTGGCTCATCAATTTTTATAGCAATATTTTATAGCATTCAAGGTGTCCTAGAAAACCAGATGGTTAGTTTGATCAAAAGGGAGTGATTTTTTTCTGAACAGTGAACTACATTTGCAGCCTGCAAATTGTTTGAACTGACTGCATCGTTCTCCATTTCCCCTCAGTTCCTCATGCTGTCCATGAATGTCTGAGGAGGAGCAGAAGGCTGACAGTGATGGCAGAGGAGCAAAGGAGCAGAGTGCAGAGTGGTTTAACCTTTTTTACAGATTTAAAACATCGTCATCTAGCCAGCTTGTCATTATTTTAATGAGTAAAAGGACAACTTTCTATACCTTTGTGTTTACATGTGGAGGGGTAAATTTTGAATTTTGACGTCTTGAGCTTTTGAACAACATGTTGGTTTTTCTCTACTCACTACGTGAATGGAAATGAAATTTGAATAAAAACTGTAACAATTATGAACAAAAAGTGTTTTTGTTTCCAGCCTGTTGGTGCTAACACTGGAAATTTTATATACTGTACATATAACTGATATACAGGGCCTATATACAACTTGTTTATACGTATATATATATATATAT